ATGTGTGTTTCAATAAAAAAACGATTAAACAATGTTTCTGTTGCGTTATTGATATAAATGATAATGGGATTTGGGTAGGGGAGAGAAAAAAACATGGGATATTTATATATGGAGCCCATTCGCATGGAGAGCTCTCAGCTCTGTTTTGGAAGCGGTGCACTCTTAACTATTCAGTTGTGGGGGGTTGGAGTCGGACACATGCTCTGCTAAATGATAGATAGTTTAGTTTTTGTTAAGTCGGGTCTCCCGCTCTCCCTCTCTATCCCTCTCCCCTCTCTCTCCCCCTTGTGGTGGATATCAAGTGATCTGGGGCAGTGCTCGCAATAGTTTTCCACTTCTATTTTCTATTAGTTTACAATTCTAAACTTGGCGAAAAGGGAACATGGCATTATCTCGCCCTCAGCTCGCAGGCGTGCTCCTGCCCATGTCAAACATGTAGGTGTACTAGCCCTTTAATCTAGTAAGCAACACAGTGCTGGGTGCAGCCCCCAGAGAGTGGTGCTTTCCACCGGCTGGTATTGGATCAAGGTGGGCGCTTTTCTCCACGATGGATCGCACAGCTGTCCATTTGTGCTCAGTTTTAATAAGCACAATCTTAGTTACAACACCCCTCTCATTATCTCTCTCTCACACACACACACACACACATTGTAATTATGCAGTACAAATAAATGTGCGCTCTGTTCACAACGGTATGTATTCCTAGGCAGTTTGGGTGTTTCAAGTTTGGGAGAGCTTACATTTTATCCTACCATTTCTACCGATCTACGTGCCAGTTATGATTTTCATATGCGCATTTTCGTGGAACAGTTTCCTTTCAATAATAACGTGTTCATTTCGCAAAATCACTGTCACGTGATTGATAATACAAATCGGAATTTAAATGATTAATAGGAGAGCACCAGTCCCTCCCACATGGACACACCATGAGCCATTGGCCAATCTGGTCTCAGAGCATTTCGTATTATTCTGTATGTAACTCTGTAACACTCCCATTTTTAGTAATTTAGCAGACGCTCTTATCCAGTGCATACATTATTATTAATTTTTTTCATACCCCCTGCGCCACCCCGTGGATCGACCAATGGCAT